TTTGTGTTTTAGAATGGGATTGAAATAGGGAAATACTGAAATTTTCTGTGCAACAGAAATCACGGGAAGTTTCAATTAGGAAATATTATAGTGGTTTTTTTCCAACATTATTTATGCAGTGAATTTTGGTTTTTACTTCCCCACAGTTGAAATATTTTGATTTATTAACAATGAACAAAATACACTGATCTGTAATGTTCAGTTTTGATTTCATTACTTCCCGATAGCGAAATACTGCTTGATGGGAGCTGCAGTTCAGGAGCTTGGCGCGTTTGTTCTGATCTTCTCCCATTGCCTGATTTACATCTCCTGTAGTGCATCATGCAATTTGGTCAGAATGAAATGTGAAATCTTACTGCCTGATGTGATGATAAAGGAGTCTAGTCTGTACGGTGTAAGAGAGGTTCAGGCATTGGTTCCCATGAAGCGGCGTGCTGCAGCGGGAAAATGGAAGTTTGTGTTCCAGTGTTCAGTTTCTCAATGCAATGTTGTGGGTCAGATCAAAAAAATATTTATGTCAAGTATTTATAGGTTGAATACTTCCTCTGAGTTTCCTGGATAGAAGATTGAAAACTGAAAATATCTGCCACAGTTTGGAAATGTGCTTCCCCATGCACAAACTGGGGCAGGGATCCAGTCTGCCTAAAACCTTTCTTCGCCATAGATTCCATCCTAGCTCACATACTTACAAGGTTTACCTAACCCTGTAGGTAACTCTTCGTTAAATATCTTCTGGTGAGTTCGAGAGGTCTTTACATCCATCTCTTGTTTCACCAACACAGGCTTAGGAGAGATGTTTCAGGGAGATAGGTGCTTACCTCCTTCCTAAGCTCTGCTACGGACTGGCTTTAGGCAGTCCGTGGATTTCCAGCCAAGTCCATGGGAGAAGACTGGAAAATCAGATGTCATCGAGAATGCTGAAGGTAGTGACTTCTCCTGAAATAAAAAAGTGGCTGGAGCACTGCCCTGAGAAGGGACAAGTCTTTGTGCAGGGCAGCTCCAGGGGGAATGCAACCTGGGCCTCTCACAGTGTGAAAGAGGGACCAGACTGCCAGGTCATGGCCTGATAACCCAATGACTGTTCTGCTGGACCCAGGTGTGCAAGAGTCCCGGGGCCAAATAGCAAATGCAAGAGGGAGACTTCTCTAACCTAGGGTTATTCAGGTGGTATGGGAGAAAAGTTTGCTCATTTCTTCTAGGGACGTTTTGCCTCTTGTGTGGTTTAATGTAAAATGCATACATACTCCAGGGAAAAGGAGTTGTATCTCCAGTTCCCTGTACCTCCAGCTGAGCCTAGCTGCTTGCCAGCTGCTAGGGTTGCTGACCTGAAGTTACGCTCACTTGTGCCTGCTATGGGCCAGGAGCCCTGCCTCCCAGGCCAGCTGGAGCAAGGATGATGTTACCAGATACCTGAGTCTTTATGGCACCTCTCAGGGGTGGGGGCTGGCCCAAGGGAGCAGAGCACTTAACCCACTGCTTCCCACGTCACCCATGGGTGTTTGTGTCACTGGACTGCCACTGTTGTCATAGCCGTCCCTGGCAAGGCACCTCTGGCCAGGGGAGGGCTGGGCAGCTCTGGATGCCAGGAGGCATGCACCCTGGTCCCTGCAGAGTGAGGGGGGAGGAAAGGAGTTAGGAGGGCGAGATCATCCTCCGCAGGTTTTGCAGAGGTGGCAGCCTCTGTCCATGCACTCAGCAGGGGATGCAGGCAACTGGGCTAGACAGACAGGTACCTGTCCTGCCTGTCCTCGAGACAGTGAAGTCGTACTGGAATGAGGCAGCTGGCACAGACTTGAAAGCACCCACTGCTTATGTCAGATTGTGATGAAAAGATCCTGGTTTCTCAGCAGGGAAAGGAGGGGAGGAAGAACCACAGGGCAAGACTGCCATTCTGCTTTGCAGGACTTTCTTTTTTCTCAGCTCAGCAATATTGCATCAGCAACAAAATAAAAATAATATGTAGGGAAGGATCCATCCAAAGCTCAATCATAAAATATGAGGCCTGCCTTCAGCTCCCAGCTTTAGGACATCAAGTGTGGCAGCCCCGCAGTGTTTGGGCTGTTTGCTTTAACCTCTCATGGGTGGTTAATACTACCTAACAGAGGAGTAAAAAGTTTAGAATTGTAAAATACTCTTTTAATCCTGGTAGTAATTACCTGTTAGCAATGTTAGTGCTTTGCCAACTCAAAGAGAACTAATCCCCTTCTGTCATAGGAAGGAAAAAACCCCGTAATAGCTGTGAGAACTGTGAAGCTTATTTTTCAACTAGATGCCTCAGCATTTTAATATTTTATGTGGGATTAGCTAGTAACACAGGAAGGCTAATATATATGCAGAGCTTTCATTTGCTTCTGTGACAATTTGCCAGCGGCAAATTGAACTGTGTCATGAGAAATGGGTGTCGTGTTGTCCCCATCCCGTCCCGTCCCCCCGCCCACTTCCTTGGCAGTTGAAGCAAAAAGACTCGTTAGTAACACAGAAACAATTTGCAACTTATCATCAGTTCAGGGGAAGTTTCTCTTAGCTCCTTGCCTCATATTTCTGCTTTTCTTATGTTTTTCTTTTTCTTACCAAAACAGAAAGTGCTGCCATTTTATAAGCACAGAAGCCACATAATGAAAGGTATAAAAGTGTTGCAGTAGAAGCATGTTTTCTAAGATAAAATAGATACTGAAGCTCTTTATGTACTGATTTGTTACACTTTTTCCCCTTCAACTTGGTTGCTTCTAGCTAAAAAAAAAAAAAATAAAAAAATAAAAAAATTGCTGTGCTACGTGTATAACCCTGGCTCCTAATGATGGCTCTGTGCCATGCTTTGGTGGTCTTCTGAGGCTGGCTCTGCGAGCATCTGGTGCTGATGGGCACCGGCAGCGATGGCTGCAGAATACTAATGCCTGGGCTGGCTCCCACAAGGCTCCACTTTTGAAAAATGCTTTAGCCATTCAGTGTCCATGCACCATGCTGAGCAACAGGGGGGCAGAAAAGCCATGCTCAGGGATTTTTTTTTTTTTTTTTCAATGCAGTGCAAGAAGCCAACAGGAACGATGGCCCTTTGCTTTACATTGTTGTGCCCAGGCTTCTTTCAGAGCTGCAGTCATTTATATGCATAAATATCAAGCCTGTCACTTGTTGCAGGCTTTGATAGCATTTGTGTAACAAAGGAAACAGAGGGAGAAAAGAGCTGAACATCTTCTATTCCAGTCTTAGAAAATGAATGACTGCGTAGCTATGGCGATTACTTTCTTTCTGGTTTTATTAGATCACTGTCCTCCGCAATTTGTTTTCCTTCCTGTCCTGCTGTCCCATGTAAGGGACCATGAGAGGACCTCCCCCCACGGCCCCTTTGTCTTTCTCCCACACTGTGACTATCCACAGGGGATATCTCAAAGAATTACCTACCAGTAACAATTGGCACAGCAAAGCCTCTTGCCATATACTGACACAATATTATAATTTTTTTGCTTCAATTTTTTTTCTTCCATTAACCATCTGACAAAGTCACTCCACATCACCCATTTCATGCAGAGATGTGAGAACTCTGATGTAATTGTACTTTTGATTATTTACTTGTTTTTTCAATATCTCCCCTAGGCAAAATGCATGCTTGCTATTTGCTCTGCATGCCATATCTTTCTGCAGCTTCTAAATTGAGGCTGATGGTGTGTTTACTGGTCATCTCTGGAAAGCCACACAGTTGCATCTAGCTTTTTGCTGGGTCTTGCAGCTATTCTGTATCAGAAGACAACTAAAATACACTACTTGTATAATACTGCTTTTCCATTAAAGCAATTGCTGAGGTATCACAGGAATGTTATTCTGATGCCAGGAGGGAGAGGTTCCTACTGATTGCCAATAGGAGGGAAAAGAGCATGTGAGACAATCCCCCTATTAAATGTGATCTGCACAATGAAAAGCTTGGGAAGCCTTTCTAAGGCTTCACGCATTTAGGCTTTGTGCCCAGTCTCAGGGTCTCAGACATGGAGGTGGTTTCAGAACACCACACAGGGGAAACCATTTCAGAAAAAAATATCCAGATTACCTGGATAATTTATTAAACTGTCTTGGATCTCCATTTACATGCATGTTCATTGGCATGCAACTCCAGTAGAACAGAAGCGACAATTTCTTGCCTGCGCTCCAACTGCCATTGCTCTGCTTCTGAGCTATCAGAGAGGTTTCAGGGACAACGACAGATAGAGCCCCTGTGAACGTTCCCAATGCTAACTAGAGGTTTCTTTTTTCCCCTGAGTAAGTGTAATTTTTTGTGCTTCCAGCTTTTACCAGTCTTCCCTAATCTTATAAAACCCTTGAAGCAATAGTAGTGTTATAGTCTTGATGGTCTGAAGACCAACAGTGCAGGATTTGTAGGGACAAGTAATACTTTTTCCTGAAGAAGGACTTGTGTGCCTGAAGGCTTGTCTGTTTTTTTTTCCCAACTGTATCAGTTGGTCTAATAAAAGATATTACCTCTCCCTACAAACTTTGCCTTACTTATTAAAACAGTTGCCTCCAGGACACAGAACACTCTTAACTGGGTGGAAAACTCCAACGTCAAGGTGATAGAGTGGAGTTCAGTGGTGTGATTTCCATGCCCGGAGCCAATTGGCACAAATTAAAACAAGGTAGGATGAACACTGTCTGCCCTGATCATTCTGCACATCATTAGTGTTCCTTTCACCCCTACTCTATGTCAGTATTTTTGTCTTTCTTACCTCTCAGCTGCATGGGGCAACTCTCTTCTGACACAGCAACGCACATTGGGTAACGTCTTTGGATGCTACCTCAGTAGTAACAGCAGCTCTTACAGTATGCTTGATGAAACTTCTCTGTCTTCTGTTGCTATATATCTGTACATTATTTTTAGTTTACTGCAGGTGAGCTTGAGAGAGAGGAAAAAAAGCTCAGTGTGACTGAGTAGACTGTTTCTCCTGTAAGGATCACCCAGATGTTGACAACTTGGTTACAAATCTTAAAGGATATTTTTCTTTTTATACTCTCAGGTGAACTTTCTGTGGAAGGCATACAAGACCCATTCCTTGTTAGTGTACATATTATCACAGACCCAGGGGAATCCAAGACTCTTCAGCAAGCCATCGATAAGCTTCTAGCCTGGATCCATCCAGACCTCCAGCTGTTTCGAGTCTCAGAAAGACGGGTGCCCAAGAAGCGCAGGAAGCCAGGTAAAGCTGGTGTTTCTCAGCCAGCCCTTGCCGTCATTCTGTTTCTGCAGGAGGAATATGGAGAAGAACCAATCTTGCAGCTCCACGAAACCTTTCAGCGACCACCTTGGCATTACCACCACACCGAGAGAGTGCATGGGAAGTTCCTCCCTTACATGCCATGCAGCCAGGACTTTTACACTTTGGCTCCAGAGACTCCTCTGTGGGCCATTCGCCCAGTGCACTACGGGAAAGAAATTATCCGCTTCACTATATACTGCAGGAGTGAAAACTTCGTTGATATTTTGAAATTGTACGAGTTAATACTGAAAAGGCCAATATGTCAGAAAAAAGCAGACTTTTGTGTGTTTCCCGTCTATTCTAACATGGAAATAGACATTCAGTTTTCTTTAAAAAAACTTCCAAAGGGGCAGGTGCCAATGCCAACAGAGTCAGCGGTGCTGGAGTTCAGGGTAAAAGATGTGGGGCAGCTTGTGCCTCTCTTGCCCAACCCTTGCAGCCCCATCAGTGAAGGCAGGTGGCAGACAGAAGACCACGATGGAAATAGGATCCTTTTGCAGGTAAGTTCAGTACAAATGGAAACAGAAGCACGTGTATTGGTTTTGTGCAGGAAAACTTAACCTGTAGTGGCAGCCAGAAAAGGAGGCTTTTTTTTTCTTGCTGTATCTTAGGAGAAAGAGCCAGGACAGTACTGCTAAAGAAAGAACTCGAACCCCCTTGCTGTGTGTCTAACGAATCAGGAAAGCAGTGGATGATACTATCCAGATATCAGTCAACCTCTGTTTATGCAAAGAGTGATGTGAGATGAGGTAGCTGTTTAAAAGAATGAGGAGAGAAGGAATTATGAGCCCGAGTGGAGAAATGATGGCTGATGGGTGTAGTTTTGTAAGAAATACAGGCACAGAACTGACAGAGGTTTATAAAATAGCTCTCACTTATGAGATTTTTATGGAAGACTTGCAGAATTCCTGATGGTACTCATTATTTTCTAGCATCACAGGGTGACAAACTGCATCTCTCTTTTGCACAGTGATTATCAGCATGGGGAGAGAGGTGGTGAAGGAAAAGAAGTGCACCCTGAAGAGCAGCCTGAGAGATACATTCCCACAGCCTCTCTTTTTGAACTAATCTCAAGTGCTCTTAACCAAGTCCTGAAAGAGAATTTATTTGTTGGGACATCTGTAGGCACCATATCTGGGCAATGTATCAGCATGCTCTGCTTCACTACACAGCATCCAAGGGAGATAAAGGCGATAACAAGCAGCAAGCTTTTAATAGCAGCCTGCCCTGCAGAGGGGGTATCTGTGGCAATCCAGAGCCAGGTTAATGTGCATTCCTG